TCTTTTTTTCTCGTAATTTTTGCTTGAAGTCACGGATAATTAACAAAAAAAAAATCTCAAGAACGACCGAAATTTTTTCTTGAATAGAGCACTTAACTGATAATTCACAAGTTGAAATGATATACCATTGACATTTTACTTTTTTAATTAATAAAACGCATCGACTATTATTGGGTCTGATCTATAAGTATCGACACTCCTATTTGCTGGGCAATACTCTACAATTAATTTCAATTTACTTTGAAGCGAATTTCTCATTATAAACTTTCCTGGACGTGCACCAGGGACATGCCAAAACTAAGTATATTAAATTCATTTAAATAAAAATATCAAAATACAAAATTAAATTAAACTTAATTATCACACTAGAAAATGTCAAATTCTGTGACTTGGCCGCTTCGAAATGCACTAAATTTGCCTTCGAGTTTAATACATTGCAGGAACCAGCCAGAATGTTAGTAATAAGTAGACCCATTGTTGCTTCCATAATGATATAGAGCAAATTATGTTTAATTGAAGATGTTCCAGAAAATAAATGTTTCATATATTAATTTTACGTTAGTCTTTTGGTTTTGATGCTGCTCTACATAAAGCTTACATATGAATATGAAGTTATGTACAAAGCAAAATGTTTTTGGAATTGGAAACGGCTCTCCATAATTGTTAAAAAGTAATCTGTATGTGTTTTTTTGAGGTGGGGGCATGGCCCCTCTAAGGGCAAAAGGGATGATGCGGCTCTTCAACAATGATATTTTTCTTCCGTAAGATGGCTGCAATGGACACTTTTGCACGTTGTAAGATGTAATCATTTTCCATTGCTTGTTGGATCAACTCATTTAATCTTGGTAAAAGATGCATTTCTGTTTCATCTGGGTGAGTTTTATCATCTTTTATTATGTAATGCAGTACATCGCCCCAGTTACTGTTAGTCTGGGAAGAATTTACTACAGTTTATTGAAAAATGAATCTGTGAAAGTTAATAACAGGGGATTTGACGACTTTATTAGACGAACTGTCGAAGAAAACTAAAATGAAGAGGACGAACAAATGTAGAAGAGGTGAAGTGAAGAGGATAAAATAATGTTCAATCCGAACACGGCGATAGTCTTCCAGGCTCTTCAATGAGTTATTGGATCAAGCTACAAGAATGCATACATTCCTTTCTTCATAGTAAAATTTCTCCAGAAAGTATGTGTAATTAATATTGGAATGCTGCTTGAATTACCACAAATGCAACGACCGAATAACAATCTTTCACGAGATATATAAAAATATATAGTATCTTTTAGAATATTGAGGAATCAAGGTCCCACAAAATTAGATAAAAGTCTAAGGAAATTCACAAGCAAGTACTATGCTCATTGTTGTGCTCAGAGATAAATGAAAAAAAAATGAAAATCTCATGCAAAAATGTGACAAACAAGCATACATTATCCGAATAATATTTCTGTCTATTTGACAGCTGAGGGTGGGGTACAGCGATGTTCCCACATACTAAGGCAGCAGACTCGTAGTCGCTCTTACTTCAGTACTGTACTTGATGAAAAATGTACAGGACCTTAATGAAAGTACTCACTATTGTGAACAAATTTTATTCGAAGGAAAAATCTCGATCTTCAATTTTGTAGTTGTAGGAAGACGCCACAAAAAAATTGTTATTTTCGAAAATTCAGAGGTAACCGTGAAAATTTGACCTATGCCACCTTAATAAGTGTACTTACAAGAAATTTAAAGAAACAATTTGGATCATTTTTTAGAAAATTTGGAGTTAACCATGAAAATCGAATAGATCATAATTATCTGAAAGTGGCGTAGCCTACTCCTTTCTTCGGTTGTTTAACTTTCCTTTTTTTCAACTGTCCAGAGTCCTGTTTGTTCATTTCAGATGTGTTGCTAACGTTGCGAACAAATCACTTTTATTTTGCAATTATTTTGTGATATTGAGTACGATTTCTACCTTTGGTTTTCCTGAACTTTGATAATGTAATTATTTCATAAAACTAACTTAAAGAATTATTTCGAATTTTTTTTGAATTTGTCGTAGTAATACATATTTTTAAAAATCAATTTGAAAAGCACACGACGTCGGCGAACACGCATATCCCGGGTCCCTTCGCTTATCTTGATATCTCATATAACTAGTGGAGCTAAAACCGCACATACTTTCTTGCCTTTAGTAAGAGTTATGTAATACTTTTTGCACTAGTTATGTGTTACAATTTTTTAAATAAATTATAAAAGTGAATGAATGTTTAATCATTTGAAATTTTAGGTATTCTTTTTTCTTTACATGAAGTCCCCGAGACATTGAAAAAGTCCGTTTTTGATCAAATTTTATTGTTTGGTAGTATGAAGGACATTTTATTCGAATGGTGCAAGTCTCAGTTTCGTTGAAAAACCTAATTTTTCGAATGTTGCAAAAATTTAAAACTTTTCTGCATTCTAATTTCTATCCAGCAAAATTTGTATAATGTCCAGCAAATTTCAGTATTGCTGAAAATATGGGTAATATAAAAGGTAAGATTTTATAGAAGTGAGGGTCTTTCCACTGCTCCCAGTACACCAAGGGAAGTGTAAGAACTCTTTAAGAAACTTGCCGCTCGATTTGAAGGAAGCGCGCTACGCGCACGGTGTTGCCGACTTGCGCGTTTCCGTCCCGATCCTCTAAAAAGCGCGCGAACGTCAGCCTTCGGGATCTGGCTTATTATTATATTGGCTTCTTATTTGGCAGAGTTTTTACGTTTACAACTTTTCAACATTTAAAAATTAATTTCAGGAAGTACACTGTACTCAAAATACTATAAATATATTAACATTTTGTATTATATTTTTTATTATAAAAATATATAGTCAATTACAGTAAATTAGTAACTGACAGTCATACAGATTTCTGAACAATAAATTTTGTAATGTATTGTAACCATTTTTGTATAATGTAATATATAAACATTTCCAAATATAAAATTATATCACAAATATGTCTAAAATAAATGAAATTTCGTCAACATGACTGATTTCCCAAACAAATCATCAGACAATAAACTCCTAGTTGGCGAATATGTAAAACCTGCAAAGGAAAGCAGTCATTCAGTTGGCGTGGATGAACATGTGAATTATTTAAAATGAGTATTTCATATACAAGTGTTTGTACATGTCCAACTCTACTCATTAGAAATCGTACAACATTTGGTGCATAATCTAAATATTTTCAAGCAATTATCAACACAAATTTGACAATTATAACTTGTTTCCATGCAGGTAAATCATGTCCCAACAATAAGACTCAATTCCCAAAAATGCAATTCGCAATTCACATGTCACAACAATAAGACGCAATTCGGAGACATTGTTGCCGAGTCATTGTAGCATTCCAATCTCTTATTTCCTGAAAGCTAGCAGTATTTCAAATACGTTTTAAATAATTTCTATAAGATTAAATTGTAAATGTATAACAAAAGTCGAATATAAGAAACGAACAAAGATATTTGAAATATATCAATTGTAACATACGAAGCATCCAAATGTAGGAAATTACAACAACAAAGCGCAGTAAATTCGGACCGGCCATTATTTTTGTCTCCAAATTATCCCAAATATACTCATATTTTCAAAACACTGAACATGACCTTAATAGAAAATCTATTTTTCATAAACACATCCTCTCTTGTCATAGCTTTGCACCAACACCATCTACATATAGAG